CTTCAAAACGACCTTGATAACCTTCATTTATGGTGCGTTCAAAACAGTCTTGCTTTAAATACTGATAAATGTTTTACAATATCGTTCTCCCGCTCATTTAATGCTTCCTCATATAACTACAATATTAACAATACGATCCTTGAAAAAGTAACTGAAATTAAAGATCTTGGAATCATCTTTGATGAGCGTCTCACCTTCAAGAGTCAACTACTGAAAGTATCAGCATCTGCTAATAAAATGGTAGGTTTTCTAATGCGTAATACAAAACATTTTTCTTGTAACACAGTTAATACTTTATACTGCTCTCTTGTACGTTCCTTATTAGACTATGGTTGCATAATCTGGTCGCCACATTATAACTGTGATATCACACTAATTGAACAAGTCCAAATGAGATTTGCCAAGCACATTTCTTATAAAATGGGAACTTACAACAATTTCAATTATACAGATACTCTCAATGCCCTCAACTTAACCAACCTATCTATCAGACGCTTTCGGCTCGATAGTATCACCATGTTCAAGATTATCTCAGGTGTGATTGATTGTTGCGATCTTCTCAATATGATAAACTTCAATGTTCCATCATATTTCACTAGAAACACTGATCTTTTTACTATAAAAACTCATAGAACTAATTATGGGTTCTTCAGCCCATTATCACGTATTTTGCGTAATTTCAACATATTAAACATTGATCCATTTGTCCATTCCTTAACTGATTTTAAAAATAAAATTTGTATAGTTGATCCTGGCTCGATCCACAATTAATCTATACTTTAGTGTTAATTTCTAAAGGTTGGTTAATACAGGAATTTTGTTTTGTATCCTTCAAACCAAACCATATAGTTCAAATTTGAAATTTCAATCAATATCAATGCTATATTATTGTTCTTATGCCATCTTGTCAATCTGTAATAATTAACTATTGTAATGGTGAATCCGTTTATTAAATAAAAAAAAAAAATACTAGTCATTATTAAAGATTCAATTAAGGCATCTGTTATTAAGGCTTTGTATAAAATCATCAAACAGCTGTATCTCATATGCTCTAATGGGAAAATGGAATTCATTGTGGGAGGAATGTATATCCTACCACAGTCTACTGAAAAAGCTTACGAAGATCACTGTTCAACTATTGATAACATTACTCACAGCTATCAGAAACATAATATGTATATTTTTGGAGACTTCAATGTACCTGAAGCATCTTGGGACAACAACGAATTAGGTGTTATAGTTGACTGTCCAATTAGTTCTAAGGCTCTGTATTTGGAAATCAAATCAGAAAATCAACATTCCAAATAACAGATCAACATTTTTAGATTTGTGTATCACGAATGTCTTCAATTTAGAAATATTTTCAGCAAATGAAGCTATTTTTGAAAATAGTCTTCATCATATTAGTTATAATTTCAATATCTCACTTTGTGAATCACATAAACTCTAAAATACACTGATTATTATCAAGATTTCAAAAATGCTGATTTTGCTGGGCTTAATAATTTTTTTTGGGTATAGACTGAAAGAACCAGTTTATTTCAAATATAAATGAGGCAGTGAAAATGTTCAATAGGGTAATTAATTAGCCTAAAATTAGCTTTTCAATAGGGATATATCAAATTGGTGAAAAATATAATATTTTAAAAAATGGCTTTGCTGAGTTCGCCAGTGAATGAGGCGTATTTCAACAAATGGTCTTGTTATTTTTCTGTTTGAAACATGGAGCAATAAATTCGAAAATAGGGTAATTAATTAGCCTAAAATTAGCCATTTAATACCGATATATGAAATTGGTGAAAAATATAATATTTTTAAAAATGGCTCTGCTGAGTTCGCCCGAAGCCAGCAAAGCCACAGGTTTATTTTAAAAAATATGCAGTGAAAAATTCCAAAATGCAATAGATATTGAGCTCATAATCAATACAAACACTTTGTCTTGAAAAATCGTCATAAAATATGCTTTTGATAGAAATACATAATGTACAGTGAATGATGCGTATTTGGACAAATTGTCTTGTATTTTTTTCTGTTTGAAACGTTGAGCAAAAAAGTCGAAAATAGGGTAATTAATTAGCCAAAAATTAGCCTTTCAATACTGATATATCAAATCGGTGAAAAATATAATAATTTAAAAAATGGCTTTGCTGAATTTGCCCAAAGCCAGCAAAGCCACAGGTTTGTTAAAAAAAATATGCAGCAACAAATTCCATAAGGCCATAGTTATTGAGCATATAATCAATACTAACAATTTGTCTTGAAAAATCGTCATAAAAATATACTTTTGATAGAAATACATAATGTACAGTGAATGAGGCGTATTTCAACAAATTGTCTTGTATTTTTTCTGTTTGAAACATGGGGCAATAAATTCGAAAATAGGGTAATTAATTAGCCTAAAATTAGCCATTTAATACCAATATATGAAATTGGTGAAAAATATAAGATTTTTAAAAATGGATCTGCTGAGTTCGCCTGAAGCCAGCAAAGCCACAGGTTTATTTTAAAAAATATGCAGCAAAAAATTCCAAAATGCAATAGATATTGAGCTCATAATCAATACTAACACTTTGTCTTGAAAAATCGTCATAAAATATGCTTTTGATGAATATGCATGATGTATAGTGAATAAACTGGTATTTCGACAAATCGTTTGGGTTTTTTTTGGTTTGAAACATGGAGCAAAAAATTCGAAAATAGGGTAATTAATTAGCCTAAAATTAGCTCTCCAATATGGATATATCAAATCAGTGAGATATATTATTATAAAAAATGGCTCTGCTGAGTTCGCCTGAAGCCAGCAAAGCCACAGGTTTCCTTCAAAAAATTCCAAAATGTGGTAGTTATCAAGCTTACAATCTATAGGAACACTTTTCCTCATGAAATCGTCATAAAATATGCTTTTGATAGCAATACATAATGTAAAGTGAATGACATATATTTCGACAAATTGTCTTGTATTTTTTCTGTTTGAAACGTTGAGCAAAAAATACGAAAATAGGGTAATTAATTAGCCTAAAATTAGCCCTTTGATCTCAATATATCAAATCAGTGAAAAATATATGTTTTCAAAAATGGCTCTGCTGAGTTCTGCTGAAGCTAGCAAAGCCACTGATTTTTCTATGATAGAGAGGAGCAAGAGAATTGGGAATAGGGTAATTAATTAGCCTAAAATGAGCACAACATTCTCACTATATCAGATATTCAAAAAATATTGTTTTTCAAAAATGGCTTTGCTGAGTTCTGCTGAAGCTAGCAAAGCCACAGATTTTTCTATGATAGGGAGGAGCAAAAAATTCGGGAATGGGGTGATAAATTAGCCTAAAATGAGCCTAAAATCATGAGATGTGTCTCATGTTGAAATTCAAAAGTGGCTTTGCTAGCTTCATTGGTATTAAATTCTATTCCATTCTATTGACTAAAATTATTTCACCTTTGTTTATATCCACACATTACAATCACTACATGTTCTACCTACTCAATTATTCATAACTTCAATTATTTCTTTTTCATCAACTTTGTGATCATTGTTATTTGAACCACAACAACAACAACAACAACAACAAAATGAGGCCGAGGTCCTTCAGCCACAGTACAGGTTTTATATATCCATATAAAGATTATTGTTAAGAAAATGACAGTTTCTCTAAAAAAAAAAAAGTCATATAACTGGTCTCCATCGTGGTGGAAATGTCTACTGAATCATCGCACTATAGTCTCTCCCATAATATGTGCTCCAGGTGTTTGTATTGTGTTCTTCTATGGTTCAGTATCAAGATTTGAGGGACTTATTTTTCAGGTAAAAAATCAGACGTTTTTTCCTATAAATATGTGCTCTCAAACGTTTCGTTACCGATCTACAGAGCGTTAAAGATTCAAGATTTTTTCATTTTCCAGCAACTTTTATAAAAAGTCAGTTTTCTAGTTTTCTTCTTCTTTAGGTAATGTTTGAAAACTGGATATCAAGATCATAACTTAAATATGTAGTGTTTTCTGTTTTCATTAAGATAAAAGGTTCCTCCCTTTTATTAAAAATTTCAATTGAATCTAGGGAACTTTGAAAATGTTTTTTTGCAGTTGCAGATGTATAAAAATCACCAGCCAATGAAGTTTGAGAACAAAACAAAGAACTCAATTTGTATTTCAAAATCTACAGGTGGGGCACCACAAAAAAGGTCTTGGAGTGAAAAAATGCTAGATCCTTGAAAAAATATCTCCCTGTAGATTGGTACCATCTGTATGCATACTGTATGATCTGAACCTCAAAATGTAACCTATGTCTCAAATTGGATATGAATATTTGGAAAACTATAGGAGCTATAAAGAAAAAAAATAAAACAATCTTGAATTTTAATGCTCTGTAGATCGGTAATGAGGCGTTTGTGAACACATATTGTTTATAAAAAAAAAAATTTTCATTAGAATAATAAGCCTCTGAGATATTGATACTGAATTTTGAAACACCCTGTATACAAGGTATATCTGGAGAACTGAAGGACAGATAATTGTGAAAATTTCTGTGTGTGAATAATCAAGCATGATCTATCCATCTAAAATATTTTCCACAATGCAGTGGCACCAGAAAGTAATAACAACTTTGTTAATTGAAATGGAAAGTAATCAGCTTTTTGCATCTGTTTAATCTCATAGTCTGCTTCACTAACCAAAATATAAAACATGAAAAGCAAAACGTAAAAAGTTGAGTGGTGGACAGTCCTGGGGACAGTGCATAACTATTATTGCTATGTGTACCTAATATAATATTGCAGAGTATATAACACTGTGCAAAGTGGCAAATCTTGGCTTTAGATAGCTTAGTGAATATATATTATGAAGATATATAGAGTATATCAACTTTTGATGAAATGAAAAACTGGGTGAAAAATGTTGATCAAAAGAAAAATTTCCAAGTAAGGAATGCAACCAATTAATTTCCAGATTGTTTCACCTCTATTATCAGCGGTCATGCACCAAACCAATTAGATAGGTAAGTAAAATACCAGCACATACAATTTTCTCATAGAAGTCTCGACGTCGCTCTGCTCTCCTTCTGTAATCCACAAGCATACCACGAATTTTTCTCTCCTGCCTTCTTGCTTCATGCCACATTATCTTGAGATTTCAATGCAGCACAATGAAATGATCAAAAAATTGAAGGATACAGACAGTAGTCCTTTGATAAAAGGAGGAATCAGTCAATTTTAGTCTTCTTCACGAATCTAGAATCTATAATACTGTACCTAAATTCAAGATCAAAACATCAAAATTGAAAACTGCCAAAAGTGGTTATTATGTTATTAAAGACTAAAGAGTAGTGTAGACTGTAGAGTGCAGTGCATGTTCCCACTACCAAGGTTGGTAGAACTGATTATAATTACAAAATAATCATCATTTCTACCAACCTTGCCCACTACCACTAGAGTCTAACTTGCTAACGGAGGAGCCGCCGAAATTACCCGAACGTAGAGTTCCTAAATGTACTTGACAATGACTTGACACTGCTGTTTTGACGTTTTTAAAGTACGGACACTTAGATTAGCAGTGACAATCAAACTCAAACATAACCACAAACGATTCTGAAGCAAATCATATGTTTTGCCAGACAAGGACAAGAATGTTTTTCGCTTAGATATAAAGGTTCTTCGCATCTTCCTTCTTCGTTTCCTGGGAAGAGTACATCCATATAATCTTCCTCTGTCTTTGATTTTTGTTTGAGAGTGGGTAAAAAGGTATTACGATAAATTGATTCGAAAATTATTTCTTCTCGAAATATTAAGGCTGAAGGACCTCGATGGAGGTCAATATCAAACACCAACCTAATATTCTTTGTCGATATCAAGTTGGTATGTACATATATACCAATGAAATACATACAGTGTGTCCCACTTACCATGCTCACTATGGGTATCTTTTTAACGGTGAGGTCGGTGAGAGATACGAGGTCGGTTAAATGAATAAAAGTTTGTCAAGGCCAACTATAATGTGAAAAAATATTTTGAACTATATAATGTGAAAAAATATTTTGATAAAATCTATTCTATTCTATTCTAAAACGAATAGATTTTATCAAAATATTTTTCCACGGGCTGAAAGACTTCGGTCAATGGCCTTTTGGGGTATATCCCTAATAAAGATGTTCTCTCTCTCTCTATTTTTCCACATTATAGTTGGCCTTGACAAACTCCACATTTGGTGTCATTTAACCGACCTCGTATCTCTCACCGTTAAGAAGATACCCATGCCCAGCCAACCATGAGATGTATAAGTGATGTATACGCTACATCACTTTGTGACATGCGATATCGCATTTGAAGTCACAAACATGCTACCGATACAACGTGGCGATGTGAAAATGTCCGACTCAAGCAACATCACTGTGACGTCGTTCAGACATGAAATGCGACATCACATGCAAAATCACCACCAGGTCACATAGTGTACATTTCATATTACAAATACATCACACTGCGACATCGATGATGTGGTCGCCGTACCTGCTGTGATATTCGTGAGATATATAATAATAATAATCATTCAACTTTACGAAGAAAATGTTTATTTTCCGAAAGTAAAAACAGGTGATACAAAACTTATCATGACAATCACCCTAATTAGTAATCTTGAAGTAAAACATGACACATATATGTAGCAATACAATACAAATACACATTATTCATAAATGATACATATCAAATACACTTACATTATCTTGGGATCTTTCATCCACCTTGTTTTAGATTGCAATAGTCCTATCTCAGAGGTAATCACAATATTACCTATTGTGATTGAACTCACGACCGTCGATCGTTCTTAAATGATTGTATACCTCCAATTTGAAACTGCTATAATAATATGTGTGCTATAAATCATCTGAGATATTTCAACAGAGAATTTGGAAGGAAATAGTCTGTACAGAGTCGGACTCATTCACTGACTGACATGGCCATGCACAGCTCAACATGGCGTCTGGCGTGTGCGTTCGTTTTGCGCATGTCTGCGTCACACTCACAGGTCACAAAGATATCTCATGAGGATATCAATGTGAATTATTTAGTTAACGTCGAAGAGATGTAGTTTGAAGAAGTCTCTGCCACATTACATAGTTTCCTGGTCGCGATGTCACCTTGCGACGTTGATATCGAATCTACGTCGATAAGATGTGTTAACGAGATATTGCATTCATAAAAGGTTGTTACATCACACAGATGTTGATGTCACACGATGGTTGGCTGGGTGGTGAGCATGGTAAAGTGGGACACACTGTATGCTACTCCTATGAAGTGATTCTCTTATGTGTGGGTATATATATACGTTCAGTTGGATATGTTTTTATCGCAAAACTTCAGAATTGGGTAGAAACTGATAAATTTCAAACAATGAAACATACTGTTATTTCGTATGGAACAATTTGATTTTTACAAGAGTGGTAGGTAAGATGTGGTAGGTAATAAGTAATTAAAATGAACAAATGATATATGGCAAGAATAACAGCTGATTTCAGTTAGGATAAAAAATGATAATGGTTCTCCAAGGCATACGGAAGTAGTTGGTTTGTTGGTTCGGACCTGGCCATCGCGGAAGATCATTTTCAATAAAAAAAATTGTTGTTGTTGTTCTAAAATTGTTCTATCCGTCATTCGGTTGCCCCCTTACGAGCAACCCGCAGAAGTCTTCGAAAGTCTTGTGCGAGCAAGGAATGACGGGGGCCTTACCTTTCAACGTGTGATCTCAAACAATTTCTTAGGCCATCAGAAAAAGTCTGCGTTCGTGGGACTCGAACCCACGACCCTAACATAAATGGTGCACTCGTTATGCGGTCTTATTCTGTGCTCTGATAATATCTTGCAAATTTTTCGTTTCTTGTTAGTTCTGAATTGAAATAAGGTCCCATCCGATACTCGCTCAGTTTTGGTAAAATATACCACGGAGTCTCTCTGATCAGTTCTTAATTATTTGAGAAAATATATAAAAAAATACTTTTATATAAAGCTGACGTATATTTCAACTCAACACTCTGACATATTATTCAATTACATAGTAACCCAAACAAAAACATCATATTATAACTATACGTTATCAGACGTTATTTTGTGGATTCCAACACTTCCTCCCAAAATACACGTTGCACATATGCACTCTGATTGATGAAGATATCGCCATTGATTGACCTTTTTATCTGCATACCCAGAAAACTATTCAAAGAACCAACAGTAATTTTGAAGTTCTCATATAAATTTCTGATGAACAATTCAATTTTATTTTCATCACTACCTCTACGACTAGTCCGTCATCAACATTGATTGCAACTATGAGTTTTTGTTGATCACTAGTACGTAGGAATAAACATGGATCAGCGCTGCTGACTGTCATCCCTTGTTTGTTGATAAAATCAACGAATCGTACATTCCAGCATCGAGAAGACTGCTTTAGCCCGTACAGACTACGATTTAGCTTGCATACTCGCCCTGTACCATCGTCAAAACCTTCAGGTTGCATCATGTAGATTTCTTCGTGAAGTTTTCCATACAGAAAAGCGGTTTTTACATCGAACTGTATCATTTTCAACTTTTCTGATGTAGCGACACTAAGTAAAGTCCTTACTGTATCAAAACGCGCCACAGGACTGAACGTTTCTTCGTAGTCAATTCCAGCTCTTCGACTATAGCCATTCGCTACTATAGTCTGGCTTTGAATCGACTCACACTCCCATCTTCCTTCCTCGCAGGTAATTTGCTGTATGAACCGCTTCTGCCCATAGGAGCTGAGGAGCACTGGATTCTATCATCATACACCTTGCCTTTTCAAGAAGTGATCTGTTCAGCCGTTCCGCGAGTCCATTTTGCTGCGGTGTGTACGGAGCTGACAGGCGGCGTTGGATTCCATTGTCTTGAAGGGACTGGTCAAATTCACAGTTGAGGTACTCCCCCTTACCGTTGTCGGTGTGGACAAATTCAATCCTCTTGTCCTGGTAATTTTCGACTTCATTTTTGTAAATCTTAAAATAATGAAGGACCTCGTTCTTGTGTTTCAGAAAATAAACACGTGAGTAGCGAGTTTTTTCACACATGAATGTGACAAAATATTTAGATCCCCCTGGGCTGTCTGTCCTCATGGGACCACATACATCGGAATGGACAATTTCTAACGTATCCAAGTTCTTCGGGGTGTCGCGCACGGGAAATGGAGCGCGAGCCATTTTTGATTGGATGCAAGTCTCACAATCTCCTAATTTGTCACTTTGGTTGAAATCAAGTCCTTTTATTAATCCATTTTGTTTAGCAAGTTTCAAGTCCTTTTCATTTATGTGACCAAGACGAGTGTGCCACTCATAGATTTTTGTGTTAGTCACTAGATGGCAGTTTTCAATCTTCGACGTTTCAGTGGTAGTCACACAGTAAAGACCATTCGTTTTGGAGGCCTTCAGGACAACGTCATTCTTGTCATTTAACACGCATGCTTTGTCCTTGTCGAATTTCACAGTGTACCCCTTATCAGTGATTTTGCTGACTGATAATAAATTCATGGTCAGATCAGGGACAAGCAAGGTATCAGGCAAATTCAAGAGTGTGTCTCTGGTTTCTGATATGACTTGACCTCTTCCTGAAATTGATGCTCTGTGGCCGTCTGAAGCAAGCTGAAGTGAATTCCCGGTCTCTATCTTCGAAATTCTCTTGAAAACTTCTCCATTTTTGCAGATATGAGATGTACTTCCCCAATCGGGACACCACGAGAGTATGCTGACAAGACTGTCTGGTCCTGATGATAAACATACTTGATGAGAGATGAAAGTACACTCTACGAGCTTCGTTTTGGCGTGACATTGCTCCGTTGTATGATTATAACGGTTGCATTTCTCACATCCAAGTTTCGAGTTTGAATCTGACTTGGGATCATTATTGGACTTTCGGGACTTCTTGTTTCTTCCTTTGTTTTTCACGTAAAAAGCTTCTTCTGATTTTGGTAGGGTACCTGGATCATTTTTGTTCCTTGCCTCGTATTCCTCCAAAATCTTGATTTTTAGCTGACTAGGAGTGGGCAAGGTATCCCTCGACTCAATCGCTACGCGAAAATTCTCAAAGGATGGGATTAGGCTATAAAGTAA